TGGAAAATTCATACATGAAATCATCCATAATTAGAATACATATATCATATAAATTACTTTGGGCAGCTTACGCCCTAAAATCATTTTAGGGAAACTATTCAAATATCCATTAAGAAAATATTATATAAAAACATATTGAGTAATTTATACCCAAAAATAAATCATAAATCATTTCAGTAAACATTACGTAAATATTCCATAATTTGATTCACACCTTTCTTTAAAAACATCCGAGGTTGACTTATTGCAAGTATTTCTCAATCAGTATATTCAAATAAACAATATACACTCACCTTATTTGCCTCGTTATCGAACCTTTATAGTCGAAATCCTTTACTCTAATATTTGATCATTCTCCTTCAATTTGATTTGATCATGAGATTTATCACACTCTATTCAAAATCATATAAACAACACAAATATTCAAAGCATGTGTTAGTATTATACTAACATATTCTAAATCCAATAATAAATATCTATAAAATATATTTGATACTTGTTCGATATAAAAATCACTTCACTATTCAATAAGAAATTCAACATTTCCAACATGAAACTTCAATGCCTTATATTTCCATATTCATCACTAAACAACTCAACTTTCATAAACTTTAAAATTTAGTTGCCATTTATGAATTCTTTTAGAATTCACACTAACTTTTCCAATTAAATCAAATTGGTCCTTACTAGTTTACTTATTTTTGACCCACACCGAAAATTCCAGTGTTGAAATATGTAATCTAGTACTTTAACATTTGTAAGCTTATAAAACATTCCCCCAAACTTTCTACCCCATTCGAATTAGTCACTAAACTTTCCCAAATTTGCAATTTGGTTCCAATTCAACATTTCAACTTAAAATTCAACATTCAAATAATAATTTCCAGCATAGTACATCCATAATTAAGTATTTTTACTTCAATGTCCCATAATTTAAAAAACTTGCAAAATATTTCCTTTACTATCACAATGTTCCAAATTTATCCAAATCAACTTCCAAAGCATGTAGAATCATTCTAATATCAAATATAAACCATAGAATTTTTTTTGAATATTTTCCCCTAATTTAATCCCCCATGGCCGAACCTATCATAAGCAATAGGGCATGGTTTTCAATCAATTTCGAGCATAAATTCAAGCTCCTATGATCAAATTCATGCAATTCCAACATTCCCACATCAAATTCAATCCAATTTCAACCAATCTTCAGGAAACATAACCATGGACGAATTTGATATATGAAATTTTTTATGATCTTAATCATCACATATGCTTTGAAATTAATCTACAACACTAATAAAATAAAAATAATCCTTTAATTCTTCAAAATTCAACATGTTCTTCATGAACCCTAATCATGAATTTCATCATCCAAGCATGCTTTCCATGAATTATGTGTACCAAATGATAGAGAATTTCAAGGAGATTAATTCTCTATCTAATAATTTATCTTAAAAATCAATCGAATAAGCTTAAAAATCAAAATAAAAAGCTTGCCCTTACCTTCAATGGTCTCCAAGGTTTGGAGAAGATAAAGATAAAAAATTTCTTGAATTTTCCACACTTAATTATCATGAATTTAAAATTCATTGAAAACTAGTTTACCATTTTGTCATTAATGAAACTTGATAATTTTCAACCATTTCATTGCAATATTTTCAAATTTAATATTCCAAAGTAAAAGATGAAACAAAACAATTGACTTTCCACCTATTCCATGTAATTTTCAAAAATTGCAATTTAATCACCTAATTTCACAATTTTGGCTTAACATGGAAAGTCGATCTTAATTCCACTTATCCATAATAAATTTCACTGTTCTAAATTATGGAAATAATATTTCCAACCTTTTTCTATCATTCTTTAGAATTTCTAAAAATTCCAATTCGATTCGATTATCAGAATTCTTATTGGACTTTACTACTTTATAGCTTTTAACACAAATCCCAAATCAAAATTCTGATTCCAAGAAAATTTCAATTTTGTAATAAACTATTCATTTACAAGACAAAATATATAACTTTTAAGAATTACATTTTTTTCCATTAAAGTTTCCAAAGTTTATACTTTGGGTACTAAACTTTCAAATTTTACATTTTGGTCACAAATCAAAATTTGGAGTATTATACTTAGCATGTGTTGATTTTCACGCGTAGGGAAAAGAAGATCGATTGGAGTAAGGTGCTTAGCTTGGGATCATTTATCGAGGATTATTTACCAGTATCAGTAATGACATCATATTATTATTTTTTATGTTCTAGTTGGCATGTATATGCATAATAAGTGTATGTAATATTTTAATGTATATTAGATATGCTTTGATATGTCTATAAGGTCTAGATGATTTGTAATAGTTTACATGTGTGTATTTCAGTAATAAATATGTAGCTATGAATATAAATTTTTAAATTTTATATATTCGGTAAAATTATATTTTATTAGCATAAAGATGAATTTTTATTTAGGTAGTTTTTAGGCAGTTTCACTCCTTATATGAAACAGTATTGAACTGCCATGTTGCTGCCTAAAATCGAATGTGAAAACTATTTTTAAATATTACTTTTTGGTTTTACGCAATTAAATATAATTGCTATAAAGTTAAATTGGCTAATTTTTAAAGAAACAAAATTTTACTCATTTTTTTGTTATTGATTGTTTTAGATGTTTTATGTGACATCTCTTACTCATATTTTTTAAAGGGTGTTACAAGTATTATTTGGTTAAAATGGTGGATATTACCTCTAAATTCTTAGGTATTAGACAAATCACATCATTTTGAACAAGAAACCCCTACACTAATAATTTTTTTATAATGATAATTCTCGATTCTTATTTTTTTTAACTTTACTTAAAATTATTAACATAATAATATACATATAGTTTAATTTAGCAAAATATTATTAAATTTGAGTATTTAAAATTATTTTATATATTTTAATATTCAATTTATTAATTATTTATAATTTTATGAGGTGAAAATTAAAATTATTGTAATAATGTAATTATTTAAAATAATATTTAACTTTAATTTATTAAAAATAGATCTTACACATAAAAAAATAATATTTTTCCCACTCGAGACTATAATATTATTTTTTAATTATATTATTTTTTATGTAAATAAATAGAGTACTTATGAAAATTATTTAAATATATAATATTTTTAAGAGTAAATTATACCAAATACCATTAATTTTTTTTCATTGACTTGTTTATACCACTAAACTTTTACTTTTATCAATTATAGTACTGAATTTTAGTTTTAAATTCAATTATGTCACTCCGTCGCTAAGTTAATAACGAGACAATATCATGGCTAAATGTTGTTGATGTGGCTTGTTATACCAAAACGATGTTGTTTTGGTGTAACAATTTTGACACATATAACAACATTGTTTTAGGCTTTATACTTTAGGGGAGTAGCGATTTTACCACTAAACTTTTAAACAATTTACTTTTATAGCACTACCCTTTCCAGTTACCATCGGTAGCCAGTTACCACCTATCACCGATCTTCTTTCCGGTAAAATTGATACAAAAAAATTCGTGTTTCACTCATCTTTCTTCTCATAGGATCAGTTTTCCACAAAGTTCACTCAAAAGCGATAAAATTAAAATAAAAAAAACTACCATTTTGATATGTTTAGAAGCTTTCTTAGATTTACCGGATTTCAATTGTTTGTTTGAAACTTCGAACGATGACAATCATTATTTTGAGAAGCCAAAACATACTTCAAAACAAGTCTTATCAGGTAATTATTTAAAGAGATCGAAGTAATAATACATCAAACTATTAAGTAGATTTTTGTTGATTTTGAGTGTTTTGTGGAAAGTCAATCCTAGAAGAAAAATTATGATTGAAATGTGAACATTTTGGTTCCAATCTTGTTGTGAAAGATAATTGGTGTTAGACAGTGATTGGATGTCAACAACAGTTGAAAAGTGTAGTGCCAAAAAGTAAAGTAACTTTTAAAAGTTCAGTGACAAAATCAAAGTGACATAATTGAATCTAAAACGAAAGTTCAGTGATATAAAATGATTCAACGAACAAAGTTCAATAGTATCTGGTGTAGTTTGTTTTTTAATTTAGTTTAATATTTAGAATATTATAATATTGAAATTCAAATATTTATTAATGAGAATTGGAAAGAAAACAACATTATTTTTCTTATTAATTCATTAAATATTCGATTATAAAATAAATACCACGTCGAGAGTGAGTTTGATCTCTTTTAAAATGATTGATTCGTTTATGGTTTCTTTTGTAACACTTAAACGTTTACCTTTTCACCTTTTGATGGATAAAAGATTTTCTAAAATAATAAAAGAAAATAAAGGGTGTGTCCTAAATTAGAACACGAAGTCGTAATTTTATCCATGCAACTCTCCTATCAAAACACCTCAAACTTTTTAACATGGACCCTATCTTCCACTTAATTAATTCTATTACCAACAAGCTGACAATTTTTTTTTCAACGCTCTTGTTGTAAAAGATGTTTGAAGGAAAAAGAAATGCTACATTCATTATCATATCTAAATATATCTTCAAAAGCGATATATTAAAAAAAATTTCAATACACACTTACGTAGGCATAGATCCATCACTGCCTATGTCTGATTAAAAGTTCAGGGTTCCTATTCCCAGAAGTGAAATATTTGTTTGTTTGCATATTCATCCGTTATTATAGTTTACAAAATTGAGGTGTCATATTTGACCATTTCAGCACTAATAATTTATGAAAAAGATCATCTAATGATTAGAAAAACTAATTAATGCAGTTTGTGGAAAAGCAATACTTCTTTATTTTTCAAGAAAATGAAAGCATTACTTAAATTATTGTATTTCTTCTATAAATCAATTCCAGTCATGTATATGCAATGGTAATTAAAGCTGACATTGATATCTACACAATAATATAGTAAACATTTGTATTTATACATAATGAAAATAAAATAAGAAATAAGAGAAAAACCCCAGAGTTAATTTACATAGCAAATCTTAATTAAATTTTGAAAACCCAATTTAAGGCAACAACAATTGTAAAGAAAACAAATAAAACTGTGTAGAATGGAAAAGTATTGACTGTGTGTGTGTGAAAGAGAGGAAAGGACATATAGTAGAAGCCGTGAAGGTTTAAAAGGAGCAAGTTGAGGAAATGGGAATATTGAATAATGGCTAATAAAGTCTGGTGGTGGAGGGACGGAGGTCAATCTCGCTGTGAAGGTTTAAAAGGAGCAAGTTGAGGAAATGGGAATATGGAATAATGGCTAATATAGTCTTGTGGTGGAGGGACGGAGGTCAATCTCCTGGGTCCAAGCGGTCCGGTCTTGAACATGCAAGTGCCAGTAGGTCTGAGCCAACGCGTCTGGATTTATCATCATCACCGCCCAGACGACGTCTCCGCCGCTTTGCTGCTGCTGCTGCGAAGTCGATGTCCCCCTGCATTTCCATGATTTTACTCTAATTTTGAGTTGTTTATCTGCTACATGAAAATGGGATTCGATTCTTTCGATCGATATATATATATATATATATATATATATATATATACCTGGGTGAACCGATGACTCCGTCGATGATAATATGAGCAACATGAATGCCGAGAGGCTGGAATTCTCTTGCAAGGCATTGGGATAATGCTCTCAGGGCAAACTTTCCACAGCCTGTTTCATTTAAAACAAACTACTGCTAAATTGTTCATATTCATTTTAAACTTGGGTTTTAGTAAATTTCAATGGTTGAAAGCTTGAAAGTCTACATAGTTCAGAGAAACCAGCAATGCCATTGAGTGAAGCTGAGCAGCCAGTGAAGAGAATGGTTCCTTTTCCCCTTTCCACCATCCCCGGAAGTACCTTTCATTCATTGAATCATTAGCACATCAAAAGTAAAAATTGGTTAAAAAAGAACGGTAATTAAAGAAAACTAATGAAACAAAATCTGAAACTAGGAGTTACCTTTTGAACGCAAAGGAAAGCTCCGATGGAGGAAACGGCAAGAGATTTCTCAAAGGAATCGATTTTGATGTCAGTGAAGTTGGTGGGGTGCCATGAAACCGGTTGATAGGCATTATACACCAGAACTTCAACAAATCCAAGTGAAAGAACTCCTTCAAATGCTTCTTTAACACTTCTGGAATCCGAGCAGTCTATTCTGATTGCAAACACTTGGGCTTTCTCTTCCCTGGCTATCTCATCTGCAAATCTTGACAATCGCCCTGAAAAAGAATACAATCCAACAGATAAAAAGGTGAAAAGAAACAGTGAGAGCTTTTTAAGGGAAAAGAAAGAGAAAGTGTACCCAAGTCCCTAGCGAGGATAGCAACGGTGTATCCTTCATGAGCAAACTTGCGGGCAACGGATCGTCCAAGCTTAGGTCCGACACCAACAATGGCGGCTATGCCTTTGGCAGAGGTAGAACTTGCCAGACTATGCATCTTTAGCAGATCTTAGGGACCAAAGAGATAAAGAAACCAGAAAACCTGAAGAATGGAGAGAGCTTACTTCAAAGCTAAATGATATTGCTGATGGGACTGAGGTATGGAAGCCACTCCTTTAAGTTGTTTAAGTCATTACGCCCTTTGTGAATTCTCCTACATAGAGTTTTGTCTCTCCCTTTTATATATGATTTTTTATTGGACCGCATAATTCCCTAAATTGTTTAAAGAAATTGCCTACATCTCCAAAATGCATTCAATGAATGTTAACTTGTCTCATAATTCAGGCGTTTCCATCAATTTTTTAATAGTCTAAGATGATTATAGAGTAAAATCTTTCTTGTATATATCTGTAAAGTCAACTACTTGAACCCAAAACCTTCAAAAAAAAAAAAACAACTTTCACTTTTAACCACTCCTACACTTGATTGGCTTAATAGGCTTATATCAATTTTGAGTTATATATAAGTAGGATCGGATGCATGGTTTTATGTTAGGGAAACTGCCACACCCGAAAATTCTTAAGTTTTATTAAGTATTAATTTAATTAATTTTAAGGGAAAATTTTGTTAGATTATAAATATTTCAAGATAATTCTCGAATATTCAGAAAGTTTAGGGACTCAACCTTGTATTTTCCCTTTTTATTCTGTAGAAAAAAATTCAAAGGAATATAATATAGCCGATGGGTTTTGAACCCAGACCAAAGAAAATGAAAAGCCTCCCTACATAATCATCTTAGCAGCCCCCTTTCCCACCGTCGTTCACCCATCTTCGGTCATCGGTGATGTGCACTGCCACAACAAAAACATTCACCGTCTCCTCCGTTCAAAACCCCTTTAGTTATTCACCGTAAACTTTTGTTGATTGTCGTGAAGTGGCATTCAAGTGTTCGTTGAAAATCCACCAGTAACCGTTGATTTTTTTTAATTTTTTCCCAACCCGACATCGTTCCACCTCACCGGCCCAGCAATGAACTCCCCGTTTTCGTCTGACCAAAACACGAACATTATGGTTCCTCAACATCGTCACGTCGCCATCATGGTGAGAGTGAACGTCGAAGTGGTTTTGACCATTCGTAAGTGGGTTTTTGATGCTCTTTGTCGCATAATAGCACTTGCACGAGACTCCCGTCCTAACGATCTGGAAATTTTCATCACCGTCTGACAACTGGAGCCACCTCAAGTGCCGCTCCTTGTGTATGGGTTTCGTCTGTCAACCTGGGGAATGTGCTGATCGATTGAATTGGTCTGAACCGATTGGACCAATTTGAGCCGAGTCGAGTCGAGTTAAGCCAAGTCGAGTCGAACCGATTGTTGACCGTCGTAGATCGGCCGTTGACTTTTTCTGAGAACACCTATCCAGATGTTTTTCGATGTCCCGAGTCCATTTCTAGGTTCGTTTCGTGAAATTCGAACATGGTAAGTTGTTTTTCACTTATTAGCCTCCCGATTCATAATTAAGCTCTATTTATGATGTAATTTCTATTGATATATATCCGAGATATTATTGGACGTTGGATTCAAGTTTGATAGTGATCGAATAGAGTTTAAATATTTGACCGGTGTAGCTAAAAATCGAGGTAATACATTACTATTATTTGCATGCTTTACGGAACATGTTGGTATTTTTTAATGCATGAATGGATTATGTTTGGTCACATGTGTTGTTAATATTCCTAAACTTGATCCATATGTGATATAAAGTATTAAATTGAATAATACTCATACTTCATGTATAAGACACTAGAGGATTGATAAGAAATAATTTCAAGTTCAGTGATTATCCATAAAAGCAATTAACCACATAATCTCTAAATTTTATTTAACCTCGTTAAAAAATTTAATACCGAAATTACATGTTTAAGAAATTACAAAATTACCCTTGAGAGGTAAAAATGGCCCATTTGACCTTGATAGTGAAAGTACCCTGAGATTTTGTATTTAATTCGATAAATTACTAATTCACCTCTTAAATTCTTGATTTGTTCGAAATTTTTTTAAAGAATTAGTTTGTAATTTTTGAGAAAGCACTAGACCTAGAATTTCTGATTTATGAGCAAACACCTGAATACTAACTTTCCGGAAGTACTTTTATTGTCAGAATTGCTTGAAATGGCTGAAATAAATGAAAATTTTGAATTAAATGGAAAAACTGGACAGAAGGAAAGGTGATAAGTTCTTAATTTAGTTAATATTTTGCTTTTAAATTACTCCTTAATCATTGGTTTTTATAGTGATTTGTTCGTTTTAATTTATTTTCTGTGCAAGACGTCAGATTCTGGAAATTGCACTAAAAGTAAGGCATTTTGCATTTTTTATTATTTGGTCATGGCCGGAGACATGGGCACGGCTCTGGGCATGACACGGTTTGACGTGGCATTTTCTAGAAGGTCCAGTCAGCGCTTCTAGAAGAACGAATAGATCAAAACGTTTCTACAAATCGGATTTGAATTAAACTCATGTTTTATGATATTATTTTAATTTTATTTTTAGGAATTTTAGTTTAAATAGGTTTTAATATTTTAATTAGGATTTAGGATATTATTTTAAATATTATTGTTTTATCTTTGTTTTAGGTATTTCATTTTAAATAGTTTTAACTATTTTAATTAGGATTTAAGATGTTTTAGCTTGTTTTTAGGAATTTGAAGGCTATAAATATCCTCTAAGGGTAAGCCTAGAAACATATCTCTATCATATGAGAATAAAATCTTCTTTTTCTCTCTAGATTTATCTCTATTTTTCGCATATTTCCTTTATTTTTCTTTAAATTTCATTTCCAACAATTGCTAAGTATGACTTTGGTCATGCTTAGCTAATTTTATTTCAAGCCGAAGACTAAAGCGAAGGCTCAATTCAAGACGTGAGAATTGTAAGGTACTTAAATCGCTTCATATTTCTCTCTCTCTTCTGAGCTTACTTTTCAAATCAAAACGATTTCGACATTGGCCTGAATGTTGTTATGATTAACGTTTGAAGAAAGATTTGCTTATTGAAGCATATTCAACTTCCCGAGAACACACTTAGCAAAATTGTTTGCTAAAAAGAAACTGAGATCGGAATCATTTATTATTGAAACAACACAATCCGAGTTGGTAGTGAAGAATTGTCCTTGTAACCGACATGAATCTTGAAGTAAAAATCTGTTTCGATGATCCGAGGAATTTGAGGCAAAGCTGAAGTCTCAGGCTGCTTTCACTATAAGTTTTCTTTATCCCTATCTCTTTAGGTTATTTAGTTAATTATTATTTTTATTTAATTCTTATCTTTTATTTCAAAAACAACTTTTAAAAAACACCTTTTTATTTTACTATTATTATTTATTATTTTATTATTTTCCCTTTTATTTATAATTATCTATTTTATTTTATTAAATCTTTTCAACTTTACCTGTAATTTTATCTCCTTCTAAAATCAATAAACAGATTTACTAAATCAAAAATACCACACTCCTTGTGGATCGACCCTGCTTTTCTATACTACTTTTCCTTTCTATTTAATTAAGAAGCCATGAATAATTTTGATAGAAAAATGACAATTATCAAATTGGAGTCGTTGACGGGGACTTATGGTAGGTACTGATTTATTTTTCTAGTTTTTATTTATGACCAAAAGAAACCCAGGTGAACTAATAGATCTAGATCCGGAGATCGAAGCACGAGCACGAAGAATCCACACACAAAAACTTCAAGAAAAGAGAAAAAGACAAGAAGAACAAGAGCAGAGATCAGAAACAGAATTAAATCCAGACTTTGAAGCAGAGGTATACAATATTTCGATGGCATAAGAAGAATAAACTATCCGAGAACTAGCCACAGCTCCTATCACTCAGATGCCATTATGCATCAATTTTCCTTGTGGAAGGACTCCGTTTCAATTAAAGACGGGACATATTAATCTTTTTCCCACTTTCCACAACTTTCCCACTGAAGATCTGTACAAACACTTGTTGGAATTCCACATGGTTTGCACTAGCATGAAACCACAGGGAGTTACCGAAGATCAAATTAAATTGAGAGCTTTTTCTTTCTCTTTAACCGACTTGGCTAAAGATTGGTTATTTTATTTACCTCCAAATTTAGTTAATTCATGGGATGACATGAATCAAATTATTCTTGATAGATTCTTTCCAACGGCTAAAGCAAGCGAGTTACAGAGAAGCATTATTTCCATTCAACAAATAACTGAAGAAAGTCTTTATGACTATTGGGAACGATTTAAAAAGCTTTGTGCACTTTGTTCGCAACACGGATTAAGTGAACAAACGTTAATTCAATACTTTTATGAAGGCCTTTTACCAATGGAGATGAAAATGGTAGATGCCGCCAGTGGAGGAGTATTAGTCAACATGACCCCAACAACAACAAGGGAATTGTTTTCAACCATGGTAGCCAACTCTCAACATTTTTCAAGTGAACCCAGCCGATAGGTTCATGAGATAAGTATTTTTTCCCTTGAGAATAAGTTAGAAAATTAACTGAAGTAGTTAATTCAATCAATTCTGATTTATCTTTATCTTTCTCTAAAACTAAAAGTTTACCTTTTTTTTTTGCAGGCACTTGAGGTAGAATTGAAGCAACTACTGGAAAATTTGAAATATGCCTTTTTAGGAAAAATAAAACCTTACCGGTGATCATCTCAAGAAAATTATCCGTAGGAGAGATGATGCTTTGGTAGCAGTATTGTGCTCTCACAATGAAGCCATATGATGGACCATTGTTGATATTAAAGGATTAAGTCCCTCGACTTGTATTCACAAGATCAAAGTCGAAGAAGTAGCAGAGCTATCACGTGAAGGACAACCCCGATTAAATCGATCGATAATGGAAGTAGTAAAGAAAGAAAATTAGAAACTCCTTGACGCTGACGTAATCTATCCAATTTCAGATAGTAATTGGGAAAGTCAGATGTGGTTCCCAAGAAAACGAGAATCACAGTAGTTGAAAATAAAGAAGGGGAGTTAGTGCCAACAAGAGTTCAAAATGGATGGCGAGTTTGTATTGATTATAGGAAGTTGAACTCTCTTACTCAAAAAGATCATTTTCCTCTTCCTTTTATAGACCAAATGATTGAAAATTAGCTAGGAAAACTCATTATTGTTGTCTCGATGGTTTTTCAGTTTTTTTCCAAATCTCAGTAGCACCCGAGGA